TGTGTGTGTGTGTGTGTGTGTGTGTGTGTGTGTGTGTGTGTGTGTGTGTGTGTGTGTGTGTGTGTGTGTGTGTGTGTGTGTGTGTGTGTGTGTGTGTGTGTGTGTGTGTGTGTGTGTGTGTGTGTGTGTGTGTGTGTGTGTGTGTGTGTGTGTGTGTGTGTGTGTGTGTGTGTGTGTGTGTGTGTGTGTGTGTGTGTGTGTGTGTGTGTGTGTGTGTGTGTGTGTGTCTGTAGGTCGCATAACTCATGAACCGATACACAGAAAAACACCAAATTTTAAACTTAAGCTTTGTTTCAGCGTCCAATGAGCTGATTAGATTTTGGGCAGAGTCGGAACATCTGGGGGGGTACTTTATAGGTGGTCATTTTTATATTTTATGGAATATATCTGTTATTTACGTTTGGAGAAGAAAATTATTCAAATAAAAGTTACTTTTTATATAATTATCTATAATTTTTGTTCTATACAAAATTTTCCTAAAATGGTCCGTATTCGAGAAATTTGACAAAATGTAAAAAAAATATTTTTTTATAAAAATTGTTCAAATAAAAGTTGTTTGTAATATAATTCTCTATAATTATTATTTTATACATAATTTCTCTTAAATGGACCGTATTCGAGATATTTGAGAAAATGTGTAAATTTCGAATATTGAAGAAAACTCAAAAACGGATAAAGAAAAAAACATTAAATTTTAAACTTAAGGTTTATTTCGGCCTGACGTAAAATAATTAGATTTTGGACAAAGTCGGAACATCTAGGGGGGTACTTTATGATAGGCCGTTTTTATATTTTATGGAATATATCTGTTATTTATGTTTGGAGAAGAAAATTGTTTAAATAAAAGTTACTTCTAATATTATTATCTATAATTTTTGTTTTATACAAAAGTTTCCTAAAATGGTCCGTATTCGAGAAATTTGATAAAATGTAAAAAAATAATTTTTTATAAAAATTGTTTAAATAAATGTTGTTTGTAATATAATTCTCTATAATTTTTATCCTTTACATAATTTCTCTAAAATGAACCGTATTCTAGATATTTAAGAAAAAGTGTAAATCTAGAATTTTGAAGAAAACTCACAAACGGATAGGGGACAAAACATTCAATTTTAAATTTAAGCTTTATTCCAGCCTGCGATAAATTAATTAAATTTTGGACAGAGTCGGAACATCTGGGGGGTACTTTATAGGGGTCGTTTTTATATTTTATAGAATATATCTGTCATTTACGTTTGGAGAAGAAAATTGTTTAAATAAAAGTTACTTCTTATATTATTCTCTATAATTTTTACTTTCCTATCTGTATACAGATATAAGGAAAGTATAGGAATCATGATTTTTTTCGACCTCGAGTTTTCGACGGATTTTTACGTTTTAAGGTCCCCTGAATCCGTTTTGACTATTTTCGCGATGATGTCTGTGTGTGTGTGTGTGTGTGTGTGTGTGTGTGTGTGTGTGTGTGTGTGTGTGTGTGTGTGTGTGTGTGTGTGTGTGTGTGTGTGTGTGTGTGTGTGTGTGTGTGTGTGTGTGTGTGTGTGTGTCTGTGTGTGTGTGTGTGTAGGTCGCATAACTCATGAACCGATACACAGAAAAAACACCAAATTTTAAACTTAAGCTTTGTTTCAGCGTCCAATGAGCTGATTAGATTTTGGGCAGAGTCGGAACATCTGGGGGGTACTTTATAGGTGGTCATTTTTATATTTTATGGAATATATCTGTTATTTACGTTTGGAGAAGAAAATTCTTCAAATAAAAGTTACTTCTTGTATAATTATCTATTATATAATATATAATTTTTGTTTTATGCAAAATTTTCCTAAAATGGTCCGTATTCGAGAAATTTGACAAAATGTAAAAAAAAATAATTTTTTATAAAAATTGTTCAAATAAAAGTTGTTTGTAATATAATTCTCTATAATTTTTATCCTATAAATAATTTCTCTAAAATGGACCGTATTCGAGATATTTGAGAAAATGTGTAAATTTCGAATTTTGAAGAAAACTCAGAAACGGATAAAGGAAAAAACATTAAATTTTAAACTTAAGTTTTATTTCGACCTGAGGTGAACTAATTAGATTTTGGACAGAGTCTAAACATTTGGGGGGGTACTTTATTGGTGGTCATTTTTATATTTTATGGAATATATTCGTTATTTACGTTTGGGAAAGAAAATTCTTTAAATAAAAGTTACTTACAATATTATTATCTATAATTTTTGTTCTATGTCAAATTTTCCTGAAATGGTCCGTATTCGAGAAATTTGACAAAATGTGCAAAATTCTGATTTTTAAGAAAATTGTTAAATCTAAAAGTTGTTTGCGATATCGATCTCTATAATTTTTGTTTTTAAATGACTTTTCTAAAATGGACCGTAATGGAAAAATTGAAGGAAAAGTGCTAAATTAAAATTTTTCAGTATTTTCGTTTTCAATGAATATCTATAGAAAAATGTTTCGAGGTAGATGTATGTGGAAAATGTATATATTTAGTTTATCCTCTAAACATTTTTAGAGATGCTGCAATAGGTTAACTAGATAGGAAAGTCATGTGTTGGACACATCAGATTTTTTATTTTTGTGACATAAATCATGATTTAAATTTTAGTATGCTACTTAAGCTTATGTTCTGAATAATAGAAAAGAAACCAATAACTCTAAAATGAACTAATTAACATTACTCATTTCTATTTTTAAAGTAATCGATTTTTTAAAACATGGCAACATGTCTTGACTGGACCCTATTTTTAATAAATCCATTACTCTATTACTCAGACCACGCGCCACAACTAATGCTTTAGTTACCAGGCGAACGCAACGTTCCATTGCTTGAATATTACACAATAATAATGGAAAATCAGAAGGACTTAGACTGAATATTAATTTCAGAATCATATCCATATGAGTTATTAGTTGTGGTTCCTTAACACACACTTCGTTCCAAGAAACCAACTCCGAATAATGCATCACAGGGATACTAAACTCCCGTATCGTTTGTCTACCTTTACTTTTCGCTTTTAGAATACGTCGTATACCAAGTTCTCTGTATCTTGGATCTTTATCCGTAAGCATTGACAATAATAAGTTTTGCGGATGCGCGCAAAATCTATTACGTTGGATAAGGGCTAATCTTAGATTCCTTTTTGCTAAAGTTGTCGTTTTTGAGTTTATTTCACCTAAACAAAAACACTATAAACAAATTTTCAAAATAGAGTATAGGTAAACTTACGTAGAGATAAAGAAACACTATTATCAGCTTTAGTGTCTTTCTCTTAACCGTCCTTATCACCAGAACTGCATACTTACATTTTCCCTTGAATAACTAAGTAACAAGAGCTAGGTTTTGGGTCATCTTCTTTAAATAAACTAGTTTTTCTTGCCTCGTTCTTTGCAATTTTCTACTTTCATGTCTACTGTTCCTATAGCCATAACTTTTTTACTTTTTTGATCAGCTAGAAAGGCTTGTTCTCTTTGGGTTGCTTTTCTTGATTTTTAACACTTACATCTTTGAAACTCACATTTGCAAGCAGCTATATAAAATAGCTTAGAGCTTCTTCTTTAAATGACTCTTATGTTTGGTGAATCGTTCAAGTATCCTTTCTTATTTTTAAATTTCTCTGAATAAGTTTGTAACATTTATAAAAAAAAAATTATTTTGTTTTATATTCGAATTTTCATTGCAGGCATTGAAGAATTAAGCCAAATTTCTTCAATTTTTGGCACAACTTGTTATTGCACAAACGAAAGGATCCTTTCTGGTACATTTTTACTTTAAGTCATGTTGCCCAAACAAGTAATGACACATAACATCATTAAAAGTTAAAGCAGTAATTAAAAAATAAAATACCCTTTAGACACTCAAACTAATTAATACTAGTTCTGACATGCGCGATTCCCCTGCTACTAGTTTCAGGTCATTTTAGCCTTCAACACAACACGTAAGCCGTATCATTTTTGCAGAATTAAATATGTTTGAGGAACCAGAAGTCGTGGTAATAAAGAAAAAATATTTTAAGTAACAAAATGTACCTAGTTTCCGCTATAAAAATTTTATAATTATATTTGTCATCAATATTTTTTTTATGGCAATTTTATTGAAAATCAGTAAAATTTAAAAATTTAAAGGGCTTTGAGGAACTCCAGAATATTAATATTAGACAACTTTTGATACTTTTTGTTGTTTACTTATGCGCATATTTTAACAAGTAAATCAGACCCTACTGCGCAGATCTCCTGCACAAATAGACCTCTCCGGTAGACCGTAGCGTGTATACCAGCCATAAGGTACCTATTTCGTTTTTTATTTAGATAAAACGATGTAACTTTTTCGCGTCTTAATTTTTTACGAATCTCACTTCGTTTTTAAGGAAAACAAAATAAATCTTTTTAATGTATGTCCCTGAGGACCATAAAAAAATTACCAATACGTTCAGAGACTCCAGAGTTGAGTTGGATACAGAAAAAAAAAATATCCCAGTACTAAACACGAATTCTGTTAGGGATTTGACCTCGTTTTCTTATATTTAGTTGGAAAGTTCAAAATAATAAGAAAGTATTGCAAAATATAACGTTATTGTTTGGTGTTGCCTTTACAATATCTAAATATTGACTGATGATAATAATATTCCAGGTAAACCACTGTTCGTTCTTAAGCTCATAAAATCTTTTTGCTGGCGACAGGTGAAGAAAAAGTTATGCTGGTCAAGTGATACAGTTAAGAATAAATATATAGTATTTTAAAAAATTTTTATAACGGAAATAATAGTCAGTGACACATTCTTAGCTTCATGGTGTGCCAAGAGAGGTAAGGGTAGAGAGAACAAAATTCCAGTGGCGGATACTATTTTTTTTTAATAAGATCGTTATTTAGAGATTTTGGGAATTGTAAAAAATACATTTTTATTTAAAATTTTTATTTCTTAAAATTTGTTAGTATATCACGTCGGGTGAGGGGGGATGAAAGGAAACTGTTTGTTACTCCCTTAAATTTACCCCTCGATATGGGTAACCTCGACTTAACGCTGTGTCGTTCCAGCATAGGTGAGCGAGAATTCCCAGAATTAAGTACTCCCTGTTCCTCAGCAAGGTCCGTTAAAATCAGAGAGAAATTAAAATATAACTCCCGTTGCAAATTCGCGGCTCTCTGACTCATATGGTGGTCTAGGCTTGCGAATACCTCAGAGGAGCAAATCTCTATGCGAGGTTCATCGTTAAATGTAATTAGATCTGTTGTTTCGTCTTTTACGTCTGACTCATCAGGCTAAAAGGAATAGTGTCTGGGACTAGGAATTTGATAATGACATGCCTAAATCTAAATGAGGGCGTATCTGTAATATGTCTAGGGTGGGTTGCCTCCACGGCACTTTCGCATCCTCCTAAGACAACGTCACCAAGAGGTAATTCTCTAATATTATCCGATGTTAGCCGATGCTCGGCGAACTCAAATCTTCTAATATATGAGACCGTTGAGCAATCGTTAAGAATATGCTCGTTGGTTTCATGTTCGCATCCTCTGCAGCATGCAGATTATGACAGCCCCATGATATGAAGATGCTTCCGTACTTGGCAATGACCAGTCCGAATACCTATGACTAGGCACAGATTCTGTCTAGTCTTACTCAAGTATTTGTTTGATGCAGTGTTGTTATAATAACTTAAGAGCTCCTTGGTAACTCTGCAGTTTCTTGTTTCATCCCATCGTTTTTAAATTTTACAAGGGAATGTCCTTTAATTAGGTGTGTCACTACCCATTTTGTCAGGCAAATAGAAGGGCCAAGTCCATAAAAAATATTTGGTTGGCCACTTTCTTGGCTAGTAAATCAGCAAGACGGTTACTTTTCGATGTGGTGTGACCTTTGATCCATCTTAAGATGACCACATTGTTGATGTATACTTCGGTCAAAGCTTCGTGACATTCTAGTACTAACCCTGATTAAATTTGTGGTCTGTTAAGGGTGAGTAGTGCTTGTCTGCTATCTGTATACATAAGCATGTTCCTCCCAGTGATATTGTTTCTGGTGATTTCTTTTGTTGCTATGAGAATCTCCGTTAGCTCTGTTTGAACTACACTGGCACTATTGCCCACAGTACAATTTATGTTTAGGTTTAATAATCTGAAGTATATTCCACATCCTGTGCCTTGATTTGTTTTAGAACCGTCGGTCTAGATATGAATAGTACCTGCCACTTCCGGTTCTTCCATTTGTTCTGTTATAAATTTATTTGGCTCGTGGAAAATATATCTCGGTAAGATGAAGTCCATGTTCGCTTGAATCAATGGAAGCGTATCAAGCGCCTCCTGCGTAGGCGTGTTATTGTCGTTAGGGCAACCTCCTTAGTGTTAATGTGGCACTGGTCGGTGTTGCTTTCATGGCTCCTGTTATGTTGAGACATGCTGTTCTTTGAGTTTGTTCTAGTTTACGGATAGCAGTTAATTTTTGGGTTTTTGGTACCCAGACAACTGCACCGTATATTACCTTAGGTCTTATGATAGCATGTAAGTCCATGCGACGACTCTGCGGTAGAAACCCCAGGTGCGCCCCACGGTAAATGCGGGCGTATGAAATTATTTAGAAAAATTGATTTATTACACAATAATGTAATACTTTTAAATTCATGAAACCTAATGTACTTCATTTGAAAAAATTTAGGATCAGTGGTGTCCCTTAACTGCTTAGAACCTCTAGGGTTCGTCAATGCAAGTTAAGAGGAAAAATCATAATTACCCGAAAAGATGACTTAGTGTTACGGAGTGAGATATATTGCGTGGAAGTTGTTTGTATATGTGTATGTTACCCAATGTATTTATGTGTGTTTTAAGTATATTTGAGGTATAGAACTAAAAAAGGGTCATCTATTATGTTGAATAAAAAGTGCTGACTTAGACGAGAAACAGCCCTATTTTGGTCTAAAATCAAAGGGCCAAGGAACTGCCCTATGACATATATTACGTATTTGTGTTTTTTTAATATCAATAATCACAAATTATCAGATATTTCAATTTTATGACTCTTCAATCTTTTGATCAGAATTTGACCCATAATAGTCAGTATCACTATTTTATGAACCAGGAGTGATAATAAGAAGTAATAAGAAGTAACTGTAACTTCGACGTAAATATTCAAGTCACACATTTTTTTGTTCTTGTTTTATGACTTGTTCGATACACTTATGCCAGTTATCTGATGTTACGCCATCATCGCTTCGTTTAAGAAAACTTTAACGTCTTTTAATTTAAATGTGTTTTTTCTCGCAATTTCCCCTTTTGTCTGAGCTCATATAAGTTCAATTGGATTGAGTTCACAGTGGTATGGCGGTACAACGGTAATCGCAATAGAGTATCCCCACGTTTATGTGTTATTTCTTCTACAACATATTTATTTTACCGGTCTTTATGTACACGGGCAATATGCAGTAATTGTACTTGAACCTTATGTTTACCAAACACTTTGTTTTTTTATTTTAACAAGTGAGTATTTTTTTAACTCGCCGATTGTGATACGACACATTATCTTTTACGATTACTGACCGGGCTCTACGCGTATCAACAAGGACGAAAACCACTTTTTAAAAACGTTAATGTCTTCATGATACCCGCCAGTCTTCCTAGATTCGAATTACTACCTATAAGGGTAATAATCCGTCGACGGTTCATACTTGAAGGTGATTTCAAACCTTTGAAATACCCGTCCGTCAAGAAATATTTGAAATCAGCTTGTTATATTTAAGCCCTGCCATACTTTTGAACGGGTGTATCCATTATTTAACATCCCTCTTCAGTATAATATATGATTATCTCCTTGAAGTCTATGGTCACGTATTTCTTTTAAAAATTTTCTTTGCTACAACACAATTTCGTCTTTTCCTATTTAAAAGTTTTTACGGTTTCGCTTTATATACTGAAAGTTTAAATCGCTTAATGTTAGCTTTAAAACTCCAAAGGATATTTTGAGTAAAGAATTAAAAAAAAAACGTGCACTTTACGGCGAATTACATTTTTTATGTGATCATCTAGAGTAACTTTCTTTTTAGTTTTTGTTTTCTTTTTCCTTCTTTTTGTCAACTTCAAGTGATCTGAAAACTGTCCGATAACACAAATATTTTAAACTTCCGCACAATTCTGCTACCTCCTTTGCACACAAATAAGGATTTCGAGAGCAAATACTTTTATACAAAGTTTTTTACCAATCCATGTTTACCCACTGTTAAATGCCTTTCTACTTTTTTAGCAGGCAGGCTAAGACTTGTCAAAGCTTTTCCCTGTTTCATTTTACCAATTAATATTTGAAGTAATTATTAAATATAAAACCAAAACCATAATCTTCACCCGCAAGCACGATTGTGAAACAAGTCTCGACATCATAAATGATGTTCTATAGTTTCAATGGATTGCTTAGTGTTGCAAATTCCTAGCGGCCGTCAAAAAATATCAGTACAAAATTACGTCCGTCGACTGCGCGCCTCCATTAAAATAGAGGCGTCTGAGCAACCCCTATTCGGGAATAGCGCCACACAGACTCGCTGATCCACTGTAAGTGAACCAGAAGCCTGTCACAGTGCAACAAGAGTGGATATGGACAATCCACTCCAATTGTACAACAGTATATTTTTTCTATGACCTACTAACGAAACTCTACAAATTTAAAAAATTATTTTAGGGTTTTAAGACAAAATAACCAATTTTAAAATAATGTAGGACTTTATTAAAAAAAGATTTAATTTAATTAGTCCCCAGTTCAAATTCGAACCCGGATCTCTCGCGTGGAAGGAAAATGCCGTATCCTCACCTACATCAATTTTAGTGTTAATACTCGTAATTAAATTAGTTTCATGTAGGCAGTTTGATTAAAATTTAAAATTTATTAGTAAATGTGGATGAAATAAAAAGAAATGCTATTATTTATCGATTCTACACAAGAATAACTCACTTTTACATATATTTAATCTCAATAACTAAAAGATATACTGACAATTAGTTTGACAGAATTGTCACTTATATAAAATTAAAAAAATAATAGTAGACGGGTGGCCAAAATATGAACTGTAATTAGTGGATTTAATTTTTTTGCAGGAAGAATTTTTTTTTTTGTGAAAAAACACTTTAAAATGGGCGTTTATTGATAGTACAATCTAATCAATAATTGATCAATGAGTAATTTTGTTATAACCTAACTTAACTAGGGTTGCAATCTTAAAAACTAAAGTTCTACTCGCTAGTATACCTTAGGATCTGACAACTTAATTACACTAAACTAACGTGTAACACTAAACCGCACAATGCTTTACTTTGTTATTAACACAATCACTTGGCTAACTCAAAAGGTTTCACTCTCTTGAGTCTTCTTGTCAGGTTCGTGTTGTCAAGAAGCTGTATCGCCTCAACGTTCACATGTTGGTGGAGCCGTTGTTCGTGACTCCTAGCGAATCTGGTGATAGTCTGGACAACAGTGTCCATCTGAAGGTCTCGATGAAGGTCGCTGTTTCTAATGTACCAAGGAGCATCGACAATGTTCCTTAATACTTTGTTCTGGAATCTCTGGATTATTAGAATATTACTGTAGCTGACAAAACCCCAGAGCTGAATGCCATAGGTCCAAATTGGTTTGAGAACTTGTTTATATAATAGAATTTTTTTATGTGTAGATAAGCTGGAATGCCTACCAAGTAATCAGTACATTTTCTTGTTTCAACTCTTGTCTTTTCTTTTTAACATGGGCATTCCAGTGAAGTCTTGCATCTAATGTAATACCTAGATATTTTGCCGAGTTAGCACAAGGGACTTGAGCATTATTTATGTTAATTGGTATTCTTTGACCATTTTTGTTAGTAAAATTAATATTAACAGATTTGGTTTCGTTTAGTTTAATACGCCATCTTTTGGTCCATTTATTTATTTGATTAACTGATGTTTGTGGTTTATTTACAGCCTCTTCATGATCTTTGCATATCGCTAGGATGGCAGTATCATCTGCAAATGTAGCTATTGTGTATTGTTCTAGTTGGGGTATGTCACAAGTGTATAACAGATACAAAGTGGGTCC